GTCGCTTTGGATAAAAGCGTCTGCTAAATGACTAAATAAATATAATATATATATATATATATATATAGGACATATTTTATCCACTCAAGTTACATGATGACACCTATACCTGGTGGTTTGACAGGGTAAGTGCTGAAATAACCAGTAGTCAGTAGAGGTTCTGTCTGATGAATCATTTCCTCCAACAAATTGCTGTAACAGCTAAATCTGTAGCACTCTGCACAGGTAGGGGTGTCCTCTGAAAACAACAGCAACAACAAAAAAAATATGGTGAACATTAAGTGGTTAATGACTTACTGCAAAATAATTTGTGAGGGACTCACCTGAGGCTACAGGAACTGAAGGCTCTTCTGGGTGCAGAAGGTGGAGGTACACTGTTTGCTGACCCATCTCCACCCAGTTACTGTGACTGTAAAAGTCCTACACACAAACATATGCATACAACAGTTTGATTATTTTGAATCACTAACAATATTCTGTTAAAAAACAATAAAACTACAATGCTACAAAAGTCTAATGGCCAATATAACATGTGACTGTAATAATATTACAAATCGAGTAATATTGGCAGAATAATAAATATAATGTTGTCAGAATACAACAACCTGTAACGAATGGAAAAGCTGACCCAGGCTACGTCTGGCCCCCTGGTACTCTTTAGCCTGGGTCAGCAGAACTGTCTGGCCCCAGAACTCTCGCAGCATCTGTGTGGCTCCTTCCACTCTCTCAGAGTCAAAGTGGTAGACTGGATCAGAGCATGTGGAGCTCAAGAAATCCATTTCAGCGTTAGCACTTGCTACCTCACCCATTGCATGCCAAAACCCTCGACCAAGCCCAGTATACTGGAACAAACATATCAGTGAGACTAAATCTTCAAGTCATCACTATGTTTCTAAAAAACATTACCAGAATTAATTGCATTCAGCAGTAAAAAGCAACAACTGGAAATATTCACTGGCATGAGACCTACCAGCTCCTCAATATCTACATCATGTTGAAGTTCCATCATTCTGCTCAGAGTTTCCATTGTGATGTTCATTATAGCCTGTTCTGTCATGTACTGGTGTGTGTATGAATCCCAGGACAACGTTAGTACACGTGACCAGAAGTTGGGAAGAAAGGCTTGACATATTGGCATACAGTAGATGAACAGCACCAGGACACACTGGTGGGTCAAAGTCCAGGAGCTCATCCCTTCACACATCATTCCACATTGGTTAAAACATCTAAACTTTTATAGAAAGATGCATCACCTGCAAAGAGTTACATGTGGTGAGACAATGCTTTCATAAGGTTCAAACAAGCTGTTTATGTCTACAGGATGCGGTGAGCTGTTTTATCATACACACGTCACTCTGTTTGCCTATTCAGAGTGGCAAAAATAAATATAAACAAACTTAGATTTTTGCCTTTTTAAATAAATAAAGTCAATTTTTCAATTTCAGTTCACTTTACTGTTAAGGATTTAAATGGCAGACCTATATATTTTCAAGATTATATAGATACTGTATATCACATATAGAAACCAGGATTTTGTGGCAGGTATTGTTTTAAGAAAGCTATTGTTTTTATTTACAAACAGAGTATTTATCTTTCAGTTCCAACCACAGTATTAATATTATTCATTATAAAAGTACACAATTAAATTATATTTGATTGTGTTTTTATGTCAGATTTGGGTGTGGCTTCGATCCACCTGTTCACTGTTTTCACCTGCTGATTAAATTATTTTTTTTTGTTGTAATGCATCTATGAATTTCATTTTTTTT